CCAAACCATTCTATGATTCTATAACTAATCTTTGTTTTCAAAGGTGAATGTGGAAATGGGCAGAAGCTTCATAGGCATAATGGGAGAAGGGCAAAAAATGTTTTGAAGGTTTTTATTAAATTGTGTTGCAGAATTTTCAGTGTAAGTAAAGTTACTCAAACCCGAGCAGCACATTTTCATTGATCTCTGATATGCTTTTTTTCTGTGTCTTAGATTACCAGCAATGCAACCAGCGATCTAAACATAAAGGTTGATGGCCGTGCTATTGTCCGCGGAAACGAAGGTGTTTTCATCACAGGCAAGACCATTGAGTTTCGAATGGGAGGTAACATGGAACTTAAAGCAGTAAGTATTTCAGATCAGCATTTTTTGAGCAGCTTATTTTCAAATTCAAGCTGATAATAAACTGATGTAGCTTTATATGGATTCAAATTTTATATACAGTAGTCATGCATAAAAGTTAAGTTGTGGTCAGTGTATTTGGTAAGGTTTTTAAAAGGCAGATTATTACTTTGCTGCTAATGAGTGGTTCAGTAGTTTTCAGGTAACAATGCTTTAGTACTATTAAGATACTAAAAACCCTCAATGCAATTAAAGCCAAGCTATTTGCCACTGCACTGAAACAAATACCAAAGGGAATTCATCTTCTCCTCTGGAGGTTTTATGGGAGACAGCAACTTTTGATGGAGGAGCAGAGCATGCAGTTTGGAGCACTACCTTCTGTGCTGCCACAGCAAGACTCAACAGCATTCAAGATTTTTGGACATTGATAAGATTGCAGAGCACACAGAATGATGGAAAAAGTTAAAGGAGGATAAAAAAATAGAGATACATGCTCTTTTATTTAATGTGTGAGTGAATTTCATGTATGAATTCAGACACTGATTCTCATTTTATGTACATAATTTTGTATTTACTGCATTTGTCAAGTGAAAAGCCACACTGCTGCTGTCTCTCAGTATTGATCTACCACTGAATAGCAAAGTACATTGCTGGCTATAATTGAGAAATTCTTGGGTGTTACAAATTTAATTAAAAAATGAAACCTTGTCATATGTATTTTTTTTATTCTCTTGATTTCTGTAGATATTCAAAAGATGTTATTGATTCATTAGACCAGCTTGTCCTTTTGAAAAACAACCTGCCTTGTTTAAATTACAACTTATACTTTTTTTTCTCACTCCTAATAGGAAAACAGTATTATCCTGAATGGAACTGTGATGGTCAGCCCATCGCGACTGCCAAGTTCGTCTTACGGGGAACAGTTTAATAACGGCAACTGGCTGCGTTTCAAGCTGTGCATGTGTGCGGATGGGACTCTGTTCAAGGTTCAGGTGACAGGTTATAACATGGGTTGTCAGACTTCTGTCAATCCCTGTGGAGCCACACACTAAAATGCAAACCACTACCAGGAGAGTTCTCTTTTGTGTTTACATATATTTGTACAAAGTAATTGCATGCCTTCAAGCATTTCTGTTTTAACAGCAGTTTATACTAACATTACATAATATTTTTAAGCAAAGGCTGTTGTTACATTCAGTAGTATTATTTCATCATCCTGTTAGCTATAACAGTGGCACTGATTTAGTAAGCTTCCAGGCTACATGCATACTGAAGTACCTTACTGGGATCAGTAAAACATATTCAAAAATGTGATCTTAGCAACAACCTCAACTTCCTTCAGTTCCCGTTCAAGGAGGTTTTTGTCCTACATCCCAAGACCTGGAGGGCTGCTGAGAACACAACTGCGATCTGAAGTACTTCAGCATTTTGTTGTTGGAAGTGGATTTGCCTAGGATGGCTGAAGTGGCAGATTTTTGTCTTCTTTTCATTTCTTGCCAAAGGTTTATATAATGATTTCCCCCAAAATTATCTGGTTTACCATATGTGTCCTAAGAGAGGGGTAATGGTAGATTCACTTTAAAATACTGCATTATTTCTGCCATATATTCTCATGTAGTTAAAGAAAAAATTATGCTAGCACAAACAATACTTGCAAATTAATATCAAGTGTGGAAATGTAACTTCAGTTTTTAAATAGCCTTGCACTTATTGAACTCCTATTCTGTCTGTGCAGTTTAAGGATTCTACAGTTGCTTAATGTGAACTATTTATAAAATGTGTTTATATTAGAAGTACATTTTTAAAGATGTACTTATAACTTGGTCACTACCAAAAAAGCATTTTCCTGGGTGCTTTAATGTAGACAGTGTATAAATTTATTATTCAGCAGTAATAATCTGAAGCAAGACTGTGTAGCAGCAGTGTCTGAGATCAGATCTTTTTTTCCCCATAAATGTCAGTACTGATGGATTATTGAGAACCTCAGAATTAAATTCTGAAGTTCAGCTGCAGGTCTATAATTCTAAATGTGATGGTATTGAATCCCATGATAGCAGAGTAAATACATGTGTCTCTGAATTTGCCAACAGTGAAACTGTATCTATGGTGAACTGGGACCTTATAGAAAGTATTACAGCCTTATAACTGCTTTTGCAAAGGTAAGGTGTTCTGTACTAAAAATAGACCAGCTCATTGTCAGTTTCACACATTCCTCCCCATGTGTTTTCTTCAGTTTAAGATAGTTTTCTTTTGCAGTAGCATCAAGTAACCTTAATGATGGAGGCCACAAGGTGACTTTACACATAGTTTTTTGACAAGTTTTTCTAGATAAGTACACACTTATCTTCCTAAAGGTTGTGCAGATGTTAAACATTAACTTCAGAATTGGTCATTATGGGAAGGTAAACTATCTACCCTTGTTTTATAGCCCTCACAGTACATAGGATTCCACAAAATACAGATCAGCTCCTGCTGCAACAAGAGCTTCATATCTAAGGTCCCAATTGCTTTATTTACTAGAAGTCAGTAAGTCCTCATGTAGGATGTGTGCGGGTGGAAGTGATGTCCAGAGAGGAATCCTAAGGTCAGGCATGATGCCACACAAGAGGTCAGAGGAGTCACATTTCCCTCATTGCTCTAAGGCGAAGCCAGATTTTGATGCTCAGTAGTTGTTGGGGTTTGGGGGATGGACAGTAGTGGAGCTGTTCTAACAAAAATGGAATAAACAGAATAAAAGCCATTGAGTTGTTCACTGCCTTAATTAACTTCATAGTTTTACTATGGTTTATTCACCACTTCAACGCACATTTTGCTGAAAATATGCACACATCTTTGCTGCTAAGTAGTGCCTCAATTAGTATCTGTTACAAGAGAAGGAAATAAACTATAACATTTTCAGAATTTTCATTCATGATAATGGAAGTTTGTCAGTTTATTTTTATATATATACACACACAGACACACACATAGGTATACAAATATAAGCAGCAGCACCCTTGAAGATAAAATAAATCTTTAAAATGACTGATGCTGCTTTGGTCAAGTAGATTACACACAAAGAGCATATTAAAGCTCATTGGTTAATACTGACATACCTATATGCTAGTATTGGATTCTTGTAATTATCAAGAGTTCTGCTGAAAATACTGTATGCAACATAGCTGAAAGATTTGTCACAAAGGCACTCTTAAATCATGGTCTGGAGAATTGGTTTTTGGGGTGTGGATTTTTTGTCAAAATGTAGCAAAACCAATCATACAAATATGAAATTAAATAAATTTGTTAGACACTGTTTATATATTGTTAATATATTCTGTTGCCTTCACTAAGTGGTTTGAGAAACACTGGTACCACACATACCCTTTGTTCTGCATTTATTTGTTATCTTCTGCCTAAGGTACGTTTTTCTGTACATATTTAAAACTTTGTGTGGCACGTTATTTATGTTATTTATTTCAATCCCACGGATGCACTTAAGATTCTGTGTGTTTGAAGTACATTCTACATGCCTCTGTGTAAAACACAATACTGGGCACATTGAAACAACTTGTATGTGATAAGTTCTCAGCCTATGTAAAGGTGGTGGTTGTTTTAATAGATGAAAGACAATTGAGTTTCTCATCTTTGTTTTGAAATTAAACAATAAATTCTAACATGCAGCTGTGGTTCAGGAGTGCTCTTTGTAAGAATACCGTTTTTCATTAAAAATACATTGTTGTGTTACTGACAGGGAAACTAGTATTTTATTAACTGTAAGTAGGAAGATCATTCCACATCTATTAGTCATGGATTATGTCTGGTGGACTTTGCTCAATGGTAATTGTGTATGATACCTGAAGTAGAGTTCAAAAGTCTCCACTGGTGTTAGCTCACAGGTTCCTGAGAAGCTGTGTTTCTTTACTGAAGGGCTGGAAAAGAAAGAAAAGGTTTGGATTGTTTTTTGGGAGAGGTGGAGGGAGGGGGAAGGTTACCAGTTTATAAATGTTCTTTTTGAAACATACCTAAGAGTCCAGAACTGTATGTTTCAGGCAAAATGTTGGTAATGCTTTGGGTAATTTGTGTTGATTTTTTTTTAATGGCAAAGTATTTCCACTTTCTATTTAACTCTTGTTATGCTGAACTTACAATAATTTTACATTTTACCTATAGATACTATGGATAACCTTCACATGAGTGTCATAGCTGTGGTCCTTTACTTTAATCTTCCTGGATCAGTGGGAACCAAGTCACAGTGGATTCTTCTTGATACACATCACCATTCAGACTGCCGGTGGGATGGGGAGCTGTCAGTGAATTGTTCTTTTACCGGAATATCTATTGTTCCAGAAGATGTATCACAAACAGTAATAACAGCTGATTTTAGTTACAATAATATTAAAACTTTTATGCGCACTGAGGGAAGAAATGAAGAATGGGTGCTAAAACACCTGAATCTCAGCAACAACCTGATCTCTGAACTCTCCTTAACTGCTTTTAGAAATTTACCTGTCTTAGAAACTCTAAACCTCAATGGTAATGCCATTCACACCCTCACACTGGACGTACCTACGCCTGCACATGGGTCTAAAAACTATGGAAAAGGCTCTTGTCTCCTGCCTGCTTTGAAAGTATTGTCCGTTGAGAGAAATAACCTTAATACTGTTCCAAGAGGTAAGCATTTCAAAATCTTTAAGGTCCTCAATCCCAGGGGGTAAGTTGGATTTGGATATGATTTGGTACATACATCTTACTGAATTCAGATTGGGACTATCTCATTTAGTTATACTTCAGGTGAGGGAAAGTTCCACCTGCGTGCAAATACAGACACTGAAGCAAATGGGTTGTTTCACATTACATCAGGGGTTTTTATACAGTCTTTGCCATCATAGTGCCTTAATGTCAGTCAAATATAACCAAATTTATTTTCTGAGAGCCCACGCAGTATTTTTCCTTGTTGTGTAGAAAGGGAAGTAAGGATCTTTGGAAAAACACCAGCCTCCACAAGCCAGTTGAATACCTTAACAGCAAGAAAATTATGGATAATGAATGTCATGCTATTCCTCGGAGGAAAGTCAATACTCTCTTAAATAAAACTTGCTCCAAATTCAGTATTTCACAGAGACAGGAAAGTACATTTTGTTCAGTCAAAACAATTTTGCTCTATGCCGTCTGACACCCAACTCAAGTGACACTTTCTAGTAACAAGAGAGTGCTGTAAGGTTTCGATAGACTTAGAAAGTGTTTTCTAGTCACCGAACTACGCTAGGCATTGTCGCCTTTATGACAGCCTCTGTCCTCATAAACAGATGGTTCACATTGTCCAAACCATGTTTAAACGAAGCAGAAGCTGCAGTACGAGCAACACTTCCCATGTATTGTTTGCTGAATTTAATTGATCTCTGATAACATCATCAGATTCATTAGCTCTAGATTTTGAAAATTTGGGGGGGCAAGCCAAAAACCCACTTATCTCCCAAAGTCAAGGGGAATAATCCTGCACCTACACAGGGTCTTCAAAGTTCTATTTTTCTTCTTTTTTGATACTGAATAATTATCTGGCATGCAGGAAACGGTTTCACTTAATTATTTTGTAGGATCTGTAAGGATCCCATGTAGACAGCCGAGAATAGCTTATGTTGTAACGTACATGGATGCAGATTTGATTTGTTTTGATAAATAAATATACACATTATAGGATGCCTCAGTGGGTCAGAAAGATCAACCCTTTCATTCTATGAGACTCAAATTTTTAGATGTTAAAAGAGATTGCTATGCGTTGTACCACCATGCTTCGAGTTATATGTAAATCCCATTTTCATTTAAATACATGTTGAGAACTTTATTTTCCTCCTCCAAAATACTTCACTAACATTCCAGTTTTTAGGCTCTGTTAAGAAAGCACAAACTGAAGTCCTAAAGCAGAGGGGTGTGGCCACAGAGTAACCCTTCTCACAGCCACCACCCCAGGTGTCAGGCCACTGCCGCCACACCAGTGTATATTTTTGGCACAAATTCAGCTTCAGGGAAGCAAACTACAATTCTTCTTGCAGGTGCAAGGAAGAATTTTTGAACTGTCAGAACTTTTGAATGCCTTTCCTATCAGCTGCCTCTGGTTTTACAGCACGAATGAATCATTCCCTTTGCTTTTCACAATAAACCCTGAGATCAATTGCTCAGCAAACAGAACAGCAAACTGGAATAAAAGATTTCCAGTAAACCAGATGACACCAGGGGCAACTTTTTTAATGAGATCTAGTAGCTTCTCAACAATGCTACATGATCAAAAATCACTTTAGAGTGACATTCGGCTTGTTACAAACTGTGGTGATGCAGAGTGCTCAAGTGCCTGCCTTCCCCCTGGAACTTGCAGGCTGGAGCTATGGGGGCTGTCTGCACAGCACCCAAGAAAAATGAGCTAGCTATCTCCAGCATTCTAAAGGGCTACTTACGCAAGACAAATGCTGTTGTAACTAGGATATGCTGAAGAATATACTGTCATGCTTGATAATTCATAGGCATACAGGCAGAAGCAACATCATGTTTTTGTTTTCAGTCAGGTTTACATCCTATGAATGTGGCTCAAATAATTCCACATATGAAAAACTCCTGTGAACTTGCAAATGGTAATGAATAGGAGATATTGTATCACATTTTGCATCTCCATCTTTTATTTGCAATTAACATATTTGTATTTTATAAACTGAGTATATTCCACCCTTTTCACACTCCTTCCCTACCTCCAGTTCTCCACAGAAGTGTACTCAAAGTACAGAGATCACAGTCAGAATCATTTTGATAGAACAAAGGAATGTTACTGCTTTTATGGAAATGTGAATTTTAAAAACATGCATTGATTGTGAATGTATTTACGTGCCTGCTGTTGATGCCACACAACTTTTAGAATGGGGCAACCATTCTGAAAGGAAAGGCATAATAACACAAAGCCTGCAGCCACTCATTACAATAGACAGGAATGGAAGGAATTTTCTTGGAAAGAATTTTAAAAAGCCACTTGACACAATTGGGAAGACAAGAACATGAAAGGTAAAATAGTTTTGTTCTTCCTAGGTCTAGGTCTGCTGCAATCTTTACAAACTGTCCACTTGTCATCCAATGGCATACACCAGATTGATCTGAATGATTTTCAGAACTGTTCACAGCTGAAGGACATCGACTTGAAAAAGAACAAGATAACTAAAATTCATCCATATGCCTTCAGGGATCTCAACAAATTACAGGTTGTAAAGCAATATTACAACTTTTTCAATGTTTTGTGTTAATCACCATTAAAGATATTAATTATCAACTATTCAGCACGATTATATTGGTCTTTGATTATTATATTAGTATACAATTATAAAAACTAAAGCAAATTGTGAAAATAATCATTATTTTTGTAATATATATTTGTTTTTCATATATATAGGAAAACACACACACTTGTAAATGTATAAAATATAACCATAAATGCACCATTTCTCTGTGCCACAAGCCAATCCATAACTGGCTTAAACGTATACATGTCCCTTTCTACCCCCGCCCCTTCCATGGGGAGAGCCCTGTGGCTTCCCTTTCACACAGAGGTAGCCTTGGGAGAATTCTAAATATACTACAATTCAAACTTTCTAAAAAGCTTAGAAAATATTCTTGAAATCCTAACCAGATGTATTGTTCCCATAACTGCAAAAGTGCTTGCATACTAAAATGTTATTGTTGATATTGCAATTAGAATTTCATTGTAATTTTTATCAAATTAATTCTGAATTATTTCCAAATAGTTTGTGGATCTCCGTGAAAATGCTCTGACAACCCCTTTACCACAGATATTAATGAGTTTGAACTTCTTTCGACTTGAAGTGGATTTGTCAAATAATGCCTGGATATTTAACTGCAGACTAAATGCTTTCAAACATTTATTTCATTTTCTTTTTAACTCCACGAGAAAAAAATGGAGTATTTCATACAATAAATCTGCCAACAAATCACAGAAACCTCTAATGTATCTTTCAAGTTCCCATTTAAACTGCAGCAACAGCGTTTTGCTCAAGAGAGCTGTAATCCCAACAGGGAAGACATCGGTGCTGAACTGTGACTCCAGGGGTATGTAAAACAAACTCCATCCTTACGCTGCTAAAATCTAAATGCATGCAGAATGATGAAAAAAAATCTGGTTTCAAAGGTAGATTTCTAAAGATACTGTTTAAAAATAACTGAACAACAATTTAACATGCAGATTATTTCATTAGAAAGTAGCATACCAGTTGGAATACTTGGAAGTCATGTTTCCCAAAAAAAGTCTTAATCTCCTTCCTCACACTAAAGTAATAAGGGATGTTTGGCATCCCTTTATACACAAATTATACACAAATAGATTTCAGTAAGTAGTATGTTGCAAATTCATCAGTTAATTTTGGAATGCAAACGAAGGACTGAATAGTAGGGTGGCACTTCTGGGGCATGTATGAAACTGAGAAGGATACTATGGTATTTCTAGTATTCAGTTATAGCAAAATGAAATGAGAGTTTATTTGCAAAGGAAAGTATTTATATTCTAAAACAGTACAGCTACTGTAACACACAGTTCACCTAAGAAATGAATTCAGCATTTACAATGAATACGGAGCACTTGAAGTGCAAGTGATAAAACCTACAGAGCTAAGACTGCCCATGCAGAAGGAAAACTAAGAACAAACCTAGAGTAGAAGGTGTATTTGTTCTACAAGGCAAAATGTTTTAACTCTAGGGGACCAATAGCACTTTGAGGTGGTAAGGCTTTCCCCCTTAGAACACTATATCCCCAAGTGAAAACACATAGGGTCTATCAGAAATGCCACCTGCTTTGTGTATTAACAAGGAAAGTCACAGAATCACTGATCATGGAATTAAAACCAACGCACTGGGTTGCACCAAAACTCAACTGGGAATGTAAGCAGATCAAAAGGCAAAGGTGTACATACAACCTCGAAACATATTCCAAAAGCCACCAACCTGCCATGGCCTACCCTAGCTGAAGTTTGAAACAATTGTTTGGTAGATACACACACCCTTGGTTTTCAAACTTTTTTTGCTGCAGTCAAAGCAGTAACTGCAGGAAAATCACAGTGGTTGAAATGTTGACAGTTAACTAGTGAAGTTTTATCTGATAGCTGCACAGAGTGACCATGGCCACACTGGAGAAGAGCTGGCTAGAAATATGGATCTTCCACAAGGGAGATCAGCAGGTGTTTCTAGTACGACCCAGAACATACTTATATAATTTCAGTGACCTCCTCCCTCAGCCACACCATTTTTCTTGTGAAGTCTGCTATTAAGACCCCCTACATACTGCATTTTAAATGGGGGTGGGGGGAATATATGATGGTTTAACAGATACTTGGTACCATGTCAAATGACTATGGATGGATAAAAAGGAAATGGATTATCAAAGATAGGTCCGAGTATGTCCTTACAGAAATAACTTGACCCTGCAAACCAAGTATCCGATACTTTCAAGAAAGATTTAGTGTCTATTTTCTTTTATTTCAGGTAATGGAGTCTCTTGGTGGACACCTAAAGGCAGAATTTCAAAAGATAATAGTCTTCCTCATATGACAGTGGATAAAATGAATAATTTAGTGATATACAATGCTGAAAAAACTTCAGAAGGGTTATATTTGTGCATTTGCAATACAACAAAGACATATCTCATCTACAATATACAGGTCAAAGAAAGGGCTTCAACATTTTTGGTTAGAAAAGCCCGGGACACCAACACTGCTTTTAGAAAGGGAAGAACAGAGCAAGACTTTGTGCTGGCTGTCTGCCTCTCTGTGCTCATTACGTTTGTTTGTGCTTTTTGTCTGGGTGCTTTTGCTAGACCCTACCTTGGGAGCCTGTGTAGACTGTTGCACAGGAAGAAAAATCCAGATTCAGAACATTCTTACTCTAATCAGGCTTTTTCAGATGAAACCTTGAGCAGAGAGTGCTCTGCAAGCAAACCAACAAATACACAGAGTAATTTGTTCATTTGTGATGAGAAGTCTTCAAGAAGCACATGCATTTTTCCTATAGAAACTTCTACTTTGCATGAAAATGTCATTGATAGCAGTGTACATGCACCAAATACAAAAGAAGAGTACCAGAAACAAGGCAATAATAAGGTCAACGGGAAGAAAAAAACAGTGCCTTCAGACATCAAAACTAGTACCAGCAGTGATGAAAATATACATGTTGATGATAATGGACTATTTTCTGTAAGGAGAGATTCTCCTGAAATAAAAGGTATCGTTTCACAGAATGAACCCATAAGCATTACAAAATTTATGCCTGGAAGGCAAAGCTGTGATGAACAACTTGGTCTAAATGGCAATATAAATGCAACAAGTGATGTGGGAGATTTTATTTTACCCAGTAGCTGCAAGAGAGAGAAAAATATTGAGAATTTAAGTGTCCACCAAACAATAGAAAACTCTGCTCTTACCGAGTACAACTGTAAAATGGAACATACAAATGAAAAAGATACTTCAGCAGATATATTTGGCAATAGTTCAGATGAAGGGAGTCTATTCACAATGAGTGACTGTAGTTCTCTGGCAGACTTTGAACTGGAACAACCTGCTGTGAGTGACAACCTGCCAGTCTGTCAGTTGTCACAAGAGCAAGCTGATATGAACAGTGAAACCAAGCAGTTGTTAACACTGCCAGAGCCTCCAAACATTGCTGCTGAACTTAAACATATTGGGAAGAATGAAGACAAGAACAATGCCTGTTTTGAAACCACTATTAATTGTGGATCAGATACCATCATGCCTGAAACAGCATCGGCTTACACTGATAAATGTAGTAACCGCGTGAGCATGTCAGATTCGGATGCAATTAGTTCTTCAAGTCAAGAAGCTCCTGCTATGTTTGATTATTTTACTAATGAAGAGTCAACAGTACAAAACTCTATTTCTGATTCTCTGCACAATCAAAATACAGATTTTGGTAATACATTTCTTTCCTTAAACCTTTTTCCCACATATGACACAGAGAACACTCCTGAAGAGGGTGAATTGCAGCTGTATCAGTTTCCCATTGAAACTCAGTATTCCCCCCGATTCAGTCCCACTGAACAAAAGGAAAATGAACCAGAGGGAAATACAGACAAGTGCATAGACAGGAACTCCTCTGAAAAGAATCATGGTGAAGGGAACATTACATTACGAAGAAACACAAGTACGTCTAAGGACAATTTTACTTTTGCTCCCGTTGATACTGGTTTGAATGAAATTGTTAAAAAACCATCATTACTGCATTCCAGCAATGAGTCACCTCTTCAACTTCTGCCTGAACACGCAACTGAAAAACATTTTACAGTTATTCCTGAGAAGGAAGACTTGCCGCCAGAGGGGAAGCAGGTTAACACAACTAAGGTTTGTGCAGATAAAATGCAAAGAGGTTTTAATGAGAAAAACTGGGAGGGATACATAGAAGTACAGGATGCCAGCAACTGTAGTCTGCCCAAAGAAACACAGACTTTCAATGCTACAGCAGCTCTGCTGCTTCTTCACTCTTCTGGGAAAACACAACCAGCCTTCAGCACAGAAGACTGTTTCCAACTGGATCAGAGTGACGAGGATGCATATTCCCTTTCAGTCCCACAAGGCTTCTTCAGTGAAAGCACACAATACAGTTCACATTCATTCCCACAAAAGACTACAGGAAATATAATCTCCAAAAGCACCAATTCCAAGATGGAGGATGACACTACTTTGACAGGACTGGAGAACAATTTTACAACAGCTGCCAACAACCAAAATTCAAGTGAAAAGCTCAGTCAAAAACATCAGACCAATTTAGGACAGGGACAGTTTTTTGTTAAGAAGAAAAGAGCATTTGATGGATTTGCTAATGTTTTGCAAAGCAGGAGAACAAACTTCAATAGTTGAAACACAAAAGTGTAATACTAAGCTCCCACAGCATTTATATCATATAGTACGTGCAAAAATGATTGTGTCTTAAAATGAACTGTGTAGCTTTTAATAACTGTTAAATACCATGGGTTGTGGTTTTTTGTTTGGTTTTGGTTTGGTGTTTTGTTTTTTTTTTTTCCCCTGAGTACCACTATCTATCTGCCTTTAACTTCAGAAATCCAAGTTACAGAACTACACTTAACAATGAGACGTATAAAGCTTGGATCCATCTAATTTAAAACCACCATAATTCCAAAGGGTAATTCAGGCCAGAAGCCATGGACTTGTGTTTAGAAGGGTACTTGTAAACAGAAACAGATTTTATGAAAACCAAATCTAAGATACTGAAATAAGTGAATACTCAGCAGTTATTATTAATAAAGCTTTTAATGAGTTATAATAATATATATTTACTTTCTCATTATTGTTGGTACTAACGTATTAGTTTCCCTTAGAATTTGCCTCCACTATGCACTGTTTTGTTTCTCTTTGTCTAAAATAAATGTAATACTGAAATTATCATTACATTATTACTATTATTGTGCTTTCCTCTGGGATTCACCCTATACAGTGAAATAGTACATATGTCTTCTGCTTTTTGAACCAAATTTGTGGATTAAAAGTGTCTGAATTCCCACAGTTTTGCAAAGATAAGTAAGCCAAGCAGTATTCAATTACAGTAAAATAATTAGTTTTTAACCTGGCAAGACAGAGAGTAATGAAACCCTTCTTTCTCAAACAAAATAGAATTCAAACCTCGCAGCAAAGTCAGTTACGGAGACTAGCTACTGACAGGAGATCACCTGTAGTTTGCAGATGCAATGACATGGGTAGGGCGAGTTAAAAAAGACAACCTAGTATTATTAAACTGTAATTCCCTCTAAAAAAGAATCCTATACCCACTTCAGAAATTTACCAAGAGGGGCAAATCAAGAGCAGCTCAAAACTTCTGTATTAGAATATCAAGAGCTTGATATACAGCAATTTACTTCTAAGCAAAAAGATTACAAATGAAAGATAAAATTTTCCATTAATATTTCATAATAATGAAAATAGCTGAAGGCCCTTTTAACACATGCAGTGTCATTGATGCAGTACTTGAAGAGGAATGTCATCACAAAGGGAAACAGGCCCAGGTTCCCAGAAAATGCAGAAGGCTGGACAGCAACTCTGGGAAAACTCTGTTATGAAGACACAATGAATTCACTAAAAATTCCAAACAGAAGGAACACATTTCAGTTCCATCAGATGTGGAGCAAGTCCAATGGCACACTCCATTTTTTAAAATATCTTTAAAGAGAAAGCTAGGAAAGAACAAAGAGATGCTGGCAAAAGATTTTATTGTTAGCTTCACATACTTGGAATTAGAAAAAAAGTTTTGCAAAAAAACTAAGGAGGAAGTAAGAGCAACTCATCAAGGAGACCAGTGCCAATATTATTTCATCTTTTGAAAAATATTTGTTTTAGCCCCTTGAGTTCCTTGTAAATAATTATTTTACACATCTAACATCACAATTATCAGTTACATATTTATTGAGCCAATAGTCACCTATGCTTAGATCTCCTAGTGGTTTGGTTTGGATTTTGTTCCACTGCTGATTTTCTCAGAATCTCTAATAGAATATTTACTAGCAGTTTCAGGCAGGCATTGCGTGAATTTGATTTAGGTCACCACAGTATTTGCAAATAACTGCACTCAACAACATCTGTAATTCAATTACAAGCAATGCCTCTGCTGTCATTCACACAGAAGACCATGCCTTCCAACTGGGTCTCAGAAGATTCCTGTTGTCACTGATATCTATACTCATAATTAAGTTTTGGGTTTTTTTTAAAGAGCAGGTACTAGCTTCATTCCTTTAATAGGAGTCCTTAGCTTTAGAACCAAGGATGAAATAATCTACTGAGGAAATCAATAATTTGTCACCAAATTATTCAGGAGTTTAGGTGCCTGATTTTATTTTCTGTTTTTTTGAACAGAAAGGAAAAAGTTTTACACATTTAACTGTCTAGAATTGTTCATACAGTCTGAATAGACAACAACTAAATGACAAAACACTAAAATCTGCAAATCACAGCATTCCCAGAAAAATTAAAAATACAAGAAGTCTAAAATAAAATGTTTCCCAATTGATTACATATTGATTCCCTTGAATATATACATGTGTGTAAATGTTATACCCTGTTCTACCATAATTTTTCTCTCCTAATGCCCACATAGTCTCAGTACTCATGTAATGCCTTGGCTTCTACTGAAGGCTGCTATTTTCAGAGAACAGTGTGTGACATAAAAACCAACTGTGCTTTCAGAGGCTGTCTAAAAGTAAAAAACTGGGTAAAAGTTTCAGACCGATTCCTCGTAGGAAGAGCTACGTAACCCCTAGAAGCAGAAAACACAAGAGTATTTCCTCATTACCACCTCTTTCCTTAGCACTCATAATCAGCTTTCAGTAAAACTCATTGTATGCAGAATTGCAGCCAAAGCAACTTTAAAAATTGAATACATCCTAAAAATGCAGACTTGCTCTTTATGGTACGTAGGAGTCTTCAAACACCGTGTTGATAAACCTCTCCAAGATAAGCCTTTTGGCTGCATTAGCTGCTAACAAGAAATCTACCTCCATAAGCAAGCCAATTTCATGGATCATGGAAAAAACAATGTATACGAGTGCCTCTTCTGATGTCTCATACACAGCTATGTGTTGTCATTTGTTTCTGCTACTGTTCAGCATGCTTCCAAAATAGTTAATGTTTTAGGGTGTTTTCCCATCTTCCTTCTGACTGAGGGAAAGCTGCAGTGGGGATGCAGACAGCACACTGCTTGTGAGAAACTGGGAGTTTTCTAAGCTGCCCTTTATGCTGCAAAGTTACAGAAAAAGGTTATCTGCTGTTCTCATTAGAGAAAATAGATTTGCTCCTTCATCAAAGGACTTCTAATATGTGACAAAGTATTTCATTCCACTGTCAGAACACTGCTGATGTTCTCAAACTTACCTTCAGATTTCTGACTAATCTTGCACCTTTCAGTTGCTACTGATCACTCCAGATACTCTTACCACTTGTTCTTTCAAACCCGAACACTCAGCGGCTTCTCCTTCATATTAGTTCACCACTTCATTAGCAAGTGCTCTTAAAGTTAATACCAAATCTTTTATATTTTCTGTGGCTCCCAAACAGTACTCCTCACACTCTGCTCCTCCCCTATTTCTCCATGCCCTTCTGTATACAACAGTTACACAGCGCCTCTTTCACCAACTCTCTCTGAGGTTTTACCCACTCACTTTTCTTGACATTTCATCTGATATCAATCCACTATATCTTGCTTGCAGTGACAACTTCACTAGTTTAGCTGGTTTGGTCACTGAGAATTTTCTAGAATACCTACACCAGTACAAAGCCAGTTGCAGTTACAGGGGTGTGAGCGTACATGCTACAGACTCCACCTTTTCCCCCTGCTCTCTTCCTGCAGAGAGGCATTAACTGCAACTGCTCCAGGGATGTTGAAACATCCTTAGCTTCATCAGTAACTTCAGGTAGCGAAACACATGTTCAGGCAAGACTGATGTTACTATCACTGTTGATAGTGGGTAAACAGACCAATTCACAGAACAGCCTCCATAAAAAGGCAGCTGAACGTATGCTGTATGAATTCGTAAATGAAGCACAAGGAGGAAGCCAAGTGGATGTTGGTAATAGTCTGTACACAGCCTTCTCACAGGGTTATCATCATGCTGAGCTCAGGGGATGACAGGACATAACAGCCCTCATACGGTGTATCAGTACAGGAAAAAATACTGAAGTCTTAAGAGTAGATCGAGATCTTCAGACACAGTAATCAGAATGAAACAAGGCTCTCATTTTCAATCACATATTTATGATACTTTGATAACTATGAAGTTCTTTGCTGTAGGTAGAAAACATTTAAATCTTTTCAGAGTACGCTGATAACTGGGCTGGAAAATAACTCTTGAATATAAATAGAAGACGTTCACATTTAACCTACACATAACTAACATCAGAAACTATTTGGATAGCAATATTAAAGTTTCATGGTACAGAAGACTGACTCAGCCCCTCTGATAAATACAAGCAGCAGGTTACACGCTGAACTGGTGAAGGCAAACCCAGCCTGCATCACCAAAATGAACATAATGAAGAACTGCCTCTCTAAAATGGGTGCTATATTACAATATTCTAATTCTAACATAAATTCATTCAACTTTAAATAAAAAGTCAAGTCTTACGATGGGTAGCTCAAATAGCGTAAAGTATTAAAAAAAGTTTTCTTGTGAAATTTGTCTTACATGTGTTCTTTATTCTCTTTGCCAGATTTTAAGTCTGCTTCCTATTAAAAAACAGATTTGTAACTCTGCAAGCAACACAAAATAGTAAGATTAACTAATGGCTCCTTTAAAAACTAAATTTGTGAATGTAGTATGTACATTTAGGCTATAAGTTTCATGTCGTATTGCTAGCAGCTTTTCTACTGCTCTGCTTAGATACTACCACTTTTGCTTTAAACAGACCAACATGACAGCTCTTTACAAGTCAAATAGTTGAAAAATTCTTATAAAAGGTAAGAAAAAAGCTAGTGTTTAAGGTCACGAACAAACCCTTAGATCAAATATTGCCACATTTAAATACTACTAGACTGGTCTTCTCTTCCAGCATTACAGTTCAGTAACTTAAGGGAATTTTCTTTAGCATATGCTTTCAGAGATAACAGAAGGGTTGAGGTTGGAAGGCACCTCTGGAGGTCATCTAGTCCAAGCCCCAGCTGCCCAGTCCATATGTCAAGATGGCTTTTGAGCTATCTCCAAGGATGGAGACTCCACAACCTCCATGGAAAACCTGCACCAGTGCTCAGTCACCCTCATGGTCAAAAACTGTTTCCTGATGTTCAGATGGAACCTCCCGTTTTTCAGTTTGTGCCCATTGCCTCTGATCCTGTCACTGGGCACTGCTGGAAAGAGTCTTGCTCCATCTTCTTTACACCCTCCCTTCAGGTATTTCTATACATTGACATGATTCCCCCTGTACCTTCTCTTCTCCAGGCTAAAGCGTCCCAGCTCTCTCAGCCTTTCCTCATAGGAGAGAAGCTCCAGTCCTTTCATCATCTTTGTGGCCTTTTGCTGGATTGTCTCCAGTATGTCAATGTCTCTGGTACTGAGGAGCCCAGAAGAGGACACAGTACTCCCAGCGTGGCCTCACCAGTGCTGTGCAGAGGGGAAGGTTCATCTTCCTCAACCTGCTGGCAATACTTCATCTAATGCAGCCCAGGACACCATTCACTTTTGCAGCAAGGGCAAATTGTTGGCTCATCTTCAACTTGGTGTCCACCAGGACCCTCAGATCCTTTTCTGACAAGCTGCTTTCCAGCTGGGTGGCCCCCCGCATGTACTGGTGCATGGGGTTTTCCTCCCCAGATGCAGGCGAGGAACTTCTCCTGGTTGAAGTTCATGAGGTTCCTGTCAGTCCATTTCTCCAGCCTGTTGAGGTCCCTCTGGATGGCAGCAGGACCCTCTGGCATATCAGCCACTCCACCCAGTTTGGTGTCATCAGCAAACTTGCTGAAGGTACACTCTGCCCCATCATCCAGGTCATCAATAATGATGCTGAACAGGACTGGACCCAGACTTGACCCTGTGGTACCCCTCTAGCCACTGGCCTCCAACTAGACTTTGCACTACTGACCACCACGCTCTGGCCCAGCCATTCAGCCAGTTTTCAGTCTATCTTGCTACTTGCTTATCCAGCCCACACATCAACAGCTTTTCCAGAGGACCTCATGGACCTGTGTCGAGATGAGCAGATAGTGATCATGCTTGTGAAATTTCACCTTGAGACATTCCTTGCTCCAATTGACTCTTTTTGTTGAAAACTTTTGTGTTACACTACTGTTTTACACCCACACACCCCATCTGAAACATGCCTTTCTCCAACAAAGTTTTAAATACTTATTTGCCTTACTATTAGAAACAAAGATTAAAAGATTATACATACAAGTTCTCTGCTACTAAATGATAAAGGTTGTCAGCTGACATGATGTATGTTCAGGTAAGAGAATTTCTTAAGTATGAATCACAGAACAATCTGAAGTCAGTTGCTGAAACCAACACAAATACTGTTTATTTGTGGGATGCCATTTTACATCAACATCAGCAAAAGACCTAAAAATCAACCAGATGAACTCATGTTAGGTGGCATAACAGTATTTTCATCATCTTATTTTCATAAGAGTTTAGCACATACATATTATGTATGTAATATCCAAATAACTAAGACATAAAGCATTCACAGTTACAGGGTAACTGCTGTTCCTGCAACAGCAGTGTCAGTAGGTACTATTTTGTGACAACACATGTACACATGCACACACATACAGAGGGGGGAAAAAAAATAAAAAATAAACACAACAAAAAAAAAATCAAGCCAAGTTTTTGTCTCAGTTACAGACAACAAACTATTTAGTTGGTGGATGGATTCCATATACTTTTACAGCAATATGAAAGGACAAAATATAAGGCCTAGAAAGAGGTATTTTAGCAGTTATAATTAAAACCAGGGCACAAGCTAACCTTTAAAGCTGTCTATATGAATTCCAAAAGTATTAAACAATTTGTTAGACTTGTGACCAAGGGTCAGCAGAAATCTGAGAAAACCTTAACACAACTTAAGTCCATTTCTTGTCCTCCAAAAAATAACTTGGGAACATTAACCAAGTAGCAACGAGCTATAACTAACTTTGAATAAAATGCATGTACTTATGGTAAAATGGGAGAAGTCTACAGTCCTCTGCAAGTGTTAGAAAAGGCTACACAAAGGTGACCCAAATATTTACTGTATCTTAAAGTCAACCTTAAACAGTTTTTAACTGAAAACTCAAGTACATAAAGCATTCCAATAAATTCTATCCTCTTCAGCTTGCTTTCCTTGAAAAAGATAAAAAAAGTGAAAAAACAACAGTAACACAGAATTATATTAATATTTTAAACACTTAATATTCTTTTGCTGCAGAATGAAATGTAATTTGTGTAATGTTTCTGTTACTAACATTCTCTACAGCTATTCTAATAAAGAGCTCCATACGTTCGTCATCTATCAACTTAGAGCGCCCACTGCTATAGTCTCTGGATGCTGTTTTCCTTTCACTAACTGGCTTTCCACTTCACATCTCCCAAATATGAAGCATGAACTGTACACAGATCATCAAGTTTCTGCTATAAGGACAGTGATAGTACACCAGCAAGATTAGTGTAAGACCCATGACACTTCTGCCAGAATGACCTCTCAGTGTCTTGTCCAAGAATATTCTGTCTATTATTTTTCAAAAGGAAAAAAAAAACAAACAAACAAACAAACCTTTATCAACAATATGATGGCATAACAAACAAAAAAGCAAACATCAGATTTGTACTAAGTACAAGGTAAGCTGAGTAGGTTAGTTAAGTTTCCACAATTATTTAAAAATGAGAGGGAATTTCTCCAAAATGCAAGAGCCGGCAATGTTAGGATCCTCTGCTTACCAGCAATAAGCAAACCGGAAGGATGGATAGCAGAGGGAAGCTTATCAAGCCATACAGCCCATTTCAGTCCATTTGTTCTCTATAAATGTCAGTAAAGCTGTCTACTAGCTGTAACTGAATTTGTTGTTTATTTCATGAAGATGCACGTTTATAAACCAGCTGAAGACTACAGACTCATCCTCCTTGCAAGTAGAAGAAAAAAATTTGCAGCATCTATCCGATTCATTTCCAAACATTCTTTCTATCACTCCCAATTACTTTTACCTAAAGAAAAAATTAAGAGTTTGTGTACTTATACAGTGTGAGTACTTTCTGAGGTTTCTTTTCTTCTGTTTTCTTTGCTTTTAATTAAATTTTATATTCTGCTAAATGTTAGCAATCTTGGAAAAAGAGCACCTGGTTGAGCTGAACAGATTTCTGTTGACCCTGTTACATGAACGTTATACCTGTAACATTAATAGATTAAAAGTGTCTTTGGCTCTTGCTTCCGTTATTGGAAGCTAAATTATTTGTGACATACAAAACTTTTTATGCAAACCTTGTATTTGTTGCAGTATTTATGCCAATCTGTGAGTTATCTAGAGTCAGTAACTAGCCTAACATTTAAGAACAATTACAGTATTTCACTTAAAATTTAGCAACCACAATTTAGCCTAATGTTAAAAGTTATATTGCTTCTAAGTTCATTCTTTTAAGAACTAAACCGGCAGCTCCACTCATATTTCCTTATGGATACACTATGGTAATATACACATTTACATCAGAAGTCTTAACAAAATGTGTGTTTTAGTAAAAGGCTTATTGTAAACATTAAATACCACACTCCACTGAATTAATTTCTTGTGCAAACTGGCATCAAACATGGAATTAAAGTTATGCATATTAGTACATGAAAAGCAATGACTATGTATTCTTTACCACTATTAACTTTAAAGAGCACTATTCAGTGTCATGGAAATCCGAACATGACTATTTCACAGGAAAGGTAGTATTTTCTTCTTAGCATCTTCTTCTTAGCATAAGGAAATTCTAGATTTTATATATGCATACATATTCTGTATTTATGTATATACAAATATACACAAACACACACAATTTTTGTCTTTGGCAGCTCAATTTGACAAACAAAAACCACCCCCACCACCACACAAATCTGAACAGAAACTGACCACTTGTAGCAATACAATTACAACTGCTGGTCCAGGGCAGCAAACTAATATGCTTTTGCTAAACTAGGCTTGATCCTGAAAGTGGTCAAGTTAATGACAGTTGTTCCTGACTTCAGCGATGGCAGAGCAGGACCTTCAACAGAGCTGAAAACTTCACATTGAATCAAAAACTCTTTCCGCCCTCCTCCCCTGGATTGCATTCTAGAGAAATCAAAACCACCAATACCTTTTAAAATATTTCTACAGAAAAGTAATGTTATTCTTTGTTCCAAAACATCCACTGGCCCTTTTTGTTAAATGCTCCGTGAATCAATACAGAACATTTTAATAAATCCTTAGTTTAATAGCACCGGATACTTCAATGACCTATTTATAAAAAAAACTAATATTAATTAATAAAGAAGGGTAAGGCAAAGACAACATGACAAAATTACACAACTTAAACATCATTCCATTCACTCATTTTCCCCAAAATAATCACTAGAACTGCCCTATACAGATAAAGAAATAAGTGAAATAGGCAGTGGTCCCTGCTATAAAGTACTATCATTTAATGCTGGTGTTTAACATGCCCATTGCCTGCAATGGACATTCTGCTAGGAAATTCCAATCCCCAGCATGAAAGAAAAAGTAATGTTTTGACTATTTGATATCATATTTTAAACTGCTTATAAACACAAAGTTAGAGATCCTAGGAAAGGCTAATGTTACAAACAAACAAAAAAAAAAACCCCAAATCTATATTATCTGTGTGCTAGGGGTGAGCAGACTTTATTCCCCAAACCACTAATTTTAGCTGGAATTTTCAATTTCACTACATCGCAATATAGACCAAACACCCTTGGTAAACCAAAAATTAAAAGGAGTATGCCAAAGGCAATTTACAAAAGTCTAAAACCCATTTTTAAAAGATACTTTAATTTGTTCATTTGTACCTGTAATGACTACTGCAGTTTTAACATGAAAAAGTCAGTACTTTTTTCTTCAACTGGAAATCATCTGTGGCATGTACATCTATTACAGTGTTTTAATATTTAGATGTGTATATATATTTTTAAGACACCAATGTTTCATTCCTGGTAAGCAATAGGTCAGGTTTGGCGAGTTCCGGTGAAGAAAGTCACAGCATGTCTTCTCCCCTCAGAAATTGTCATCTCAAACAGTAACATTAAAATTGACAACAGTTCTTCCCATAACTATGTCCAAGCAGTCTGTTCATTTCATTTTCTGAAATGCTACATTTGAGACCAAAAGAAAAACAAAATAACTAAAGTTTCAACAAACACATAAGTGATGACTAGAAATATGCCACAAAATTATTTTTACAATACATTTCTGCAGAAATAATCCCTAGGTGAAGCCTTTTTTTTATACACATATACAAAATTTAGACAGCAATATACACATAATCACAGTGAAGATGCTGGCAAGTTCACCAATTCGTAGTGTAAATACAAATGCAAAGCAGCCTTCAAAGAGAACAATGCTACACAGCAAGCATAGCTAGCTTGTTAAATAGCAAACATCAAAAGTTCCCTGCAAAAGGGATGCAGTGCAAGAAAAGCAGCATGCACTTTGATACAAATAGCAGTTTATGGCTAATGGCTGACATAACTGTGGTAACAGTGACTCTTGAGTGGCTGTGCATAGTTAAACTCCTATGTCATCTGTTTTCCTTTATACCATTCCACAAACTCATCCAACAACACTGGCCCTGTAGAGAGATCAAATAACTGTATTTTACAAAATTTTGTAAGAGGACACTGAATGATTAAGCTCAGAGAAATAAATTATTTTAGAACACCAACATATGGTAGTACTTACAGGCTCCATCTTCATCATAATTACTGAGGTCAAGGTTAATTGTTCTGCTGAATTCAAGAACGTTACACCATTGGTCCTTATTGATAACTTTATATTTTGATTGCTGGTTAAGGCAAGAAACAGAAGTTATTCAAATATATTTTCAGCTCCCTCAAGTTCAGATTTTCTTACAGGAAATTTAAACTTTGTAATGAATTATTATTTTAATCTGTATGCCATCTAAAATGAAACAGGATTAAAGGAACCACTAAATCAAACTAGTGTTGAATAACTCATGTTTCTGATTAAGACATCTTTTAGCGGAAAAATATACCACAACAAAATTAAAGTCCAAAAGCAAATCAAAGACATTCTATACTTTGTCCTGCATTAAATAAACCTTAACAGCATAGTGATTTGGGGAAAAGGAAGAAAGGAAAGATAACCAGTTACAAGTGCTGCTTTGGGGGTGAGTATATCCCAAATCAGAACAAAAAATTCTTAGCTGTTCATTCTACCTCTAGTTAAAGTATCAGAGAAGACAGAACAAAAAAATGTACTTCTGTTTCAAACTTCATACCTCTAGAAACTGGTGAAATACTGGAAAAAGGGACCATGTTTTTCCTAAAAGAAGGCCCAACATACACTTGGCAGTATTGATATCTAGGCTGCGCTGGTCCTTTTCCTGCATAAAAAGGTCAAAAGGGGAAAAAAAAAAGACCATGATTTCAGGATTTTTCACTTCTGCCACTGCCTGTACTAAGCGCACCCATACATATAACAAGTTAACAAATAAATAATAAATATCAGTATCTAGCAGTGGTTTTTACTAAAACACAACTTCCTAGTAAGAATGCCCTCCTCACAGCTAACAGCTTGCTATATAGAGATGCTGCTTTCCATAGACTTTCTGAAAAAACCTTCACTGCTATTGCAAATGAGGCATACACTCCTGTTTGTGACTTCAGACCTTTCTTAGAAAGCAGTGGCCATTAGATCCATACCCATGTTTGCATGTATGCCTCTGCACAGCCATACGTCTCTTGAAATAGTATCCCTGCACACATTTCCCACAGTATTATTGCAACTATATGAACTGTCAGTAGATAGTTAAGCAGCTATCAAGTAACACTGCCTATTCAAGAGTGAGCCAAGGAGGTTCTTTGTTATGTTATCCTACTGTTTGCATTAAATTCAGATTAAATGAAGTATCAAATGAGCAGAGGGAACATAACACAGTAGGACATGGAGACCCCTCTCAGAACTGTCCTAGTTTTAGTTCAACGTAGCAGTAGTATATTAAGGCTTAGGGGGTGAGATTTTTGTTCCTGCTAGAAAAAAAGCATCATCTGTACCTAGCAGATTCATTACATCTCACCAGTGGGAAAGTTAATATATTTGATAAGACAGGTTCTGCACATCTCAAAAGGAACATGTCTACATGAGATTCCATTTTGTTATTTTAAGCAGTTTATCCATCTACTTTTGTTTTCTTGAAATAAAACAGATTTTGGAGGATGCAAAACCCCACCCTTTTATGCCTTGGTTATATCATTAAGCTACACATTCAGAAATTAATGAGATCACAAAAAATAAAGTTCCATTCTGGCTACTGTAGACCTTGATCTCTCTATAGGTACTCATGATTGCAGACTGCAAAATCTAAATTAAGAAAAAACAGGTATATAAGGATATCCAGGATACAGTGGGTACCTAACAAAACAGCACAGGACAGCTCTCCAAGACAAAAGGAATTGAGTCCTATGCCTCACCTGTACAAGTGCAGTTCTATGTATTATAGAATACACATCTTTATTAAAAAACAATCTCAAAACATAACTGAATTGTCTTCAATCATGTAGGAAGGATGTGATAAAGAGAGATCCCAGTTCTCAGACAACAACTGAACACGTAAGCCACAAGGTTATCCTCTCTTCTTAAAATCCATTTCATACAAAATACACCTCCATTCAAGAACTGTGTGGACAGAATTTAATGTAGATTTGTTTTTGGAAGGAAAGTGGGGAGGCCAGCAACTCTGAAAACATCAGAAGCTGTTTTACATTCTGGTCACTAAATACAAGAGGGACTTCTCTCAATCTGATCTAGAGGGGAAAAGTAAATTTCAGGATGAACAAAGCTTTTCGATTAGCAATAAAGCTGAAAAACAAACCTGCAAAGGCATTTTTGTCTTAACAAAATTACAATTCTTTCACTTATTTCAACATCAAATACATACAAAAAAAAAATCCTCTTTCCAAAGCCCATTTACACCTCTGTCACAGACACCTTTAAGCAGAAATTATGCTTCTGTGAGAATACATTTTATTTTCCATACTGTTTAAACTCCGAAGTCCTCCCACACACTCAAGTGTTAATGAAATCAGGCTCCGCTGCCTTTACTTTGGCCATGCTGTTTTTACATGCCTTACATTGTTAAGTTTCTACATTCTCCCTCTCTGACTACTGTTCAGAACAAATTATTCAGATAAGCTCTTTATACCCACCTTCAACTGCCTAATGGCACATCTGCCACGGCACATGCTCCGATTTCATTCTTGACATACAATCCACATACTTACATTCTCTTTCTTGGATACAGTGGAAAGAATATATTGGCAAACTCCGATAAATTTCAGTAGTTCTTCTACATCAATGATAGACAGTCTTTCTGAGATTTTTCCTCCCCAAATACTTCAGGTAAGAGACTTACTTAAGCCACGAAATACATCCATCTGTGTTTTCTCAAACTTTGCAATGAAAATAGCAAACTGGGAGCAAGGAATGTATTTGTGCTTAATACTAACATACGGTGTTTTAAATTATTTCCTCAAATCCACGCTTGACTTAAATCATGCATGCTGCATAAAAACTTGATACTTGTTTTTATTCACAAACTAACTCTAAATACCAAATCACAATAGACACTTTCAAAAAATTCTCTTGTAAAACTTCAGAAGTTTAGACAAATGGTTTTTGCCATGGAACACTTCCCTGAAATTATTACCCTCAGGATGGAAATTACACAGTCCTCTGAATCAAAACCCAGAACTGCTCCCATCAGCTTTTTCCTATCAATCACTTAAATTATTCTGATAAAAATTATAGACGGATTCATCTGGTGCACCTAGATAAATATATCAGCCTTCATCTGCATTCATTTCTATTCTTCCTGGATGCCATTCTCCCTTAGACTACAGCTAGCTCCACAGTATTAAAAGTTCAGTAATTCTATTAACCCAATATTGTTTTGACAATTACCCTGCTGATATGCCTTTAACTTGCAGTTCTACAATCTGGGGTTTTTTTTAATCACATATAATGTCACAGCATCTGTGTCTCGATGTTTAAATTCTTTTTCAAGACCACTGTTTGTCACATTAATTTGGTACCTCTTGGGTACTCCACCCACTATCCTCTTCTTAAGCTTCTTCACTTACTTTTGACAGGCAATCAGCTGGTGCAGATTAGCTACTATTAAAAAATGTTTTACTCTATTCCTAATATTTCATCAGTATCTTGAACCTCTTTGGTAATGTTCATTATTTCTAGCCTTTGCATTTTACATTGAGCAAAACTGGCAGAGTAAATCTTCACATAGCAAAGGAGGAATTAAGCTGTTGATAGGGCTTTTTTTCCTCTCATAAGAATACCATGCATTCTGTCATATGCAGCTGCAGGTTTCCTTGGTTAATAGTCAATTACCATGAATCTCTGCATGCTGACATGCAGAAAGCACTGATGTACCGCAAATCTGAGCTACTTATGACAGACTTAACAATCAGAATTGCTATCAGTTTGATTTCTTTTTTTTATTTTTCTCATTTTACTTTTTTTTTTGCTGCAAATTTTCTTGGTGCTTTTTGTTCTCCTGCACTGAAATCTGAGCTTCAGTTTTGCCTGTGGTCATTTTAATGTTAAATCTGTACAGTCCATCATGTTAGCAAGATGGATGTCCAAACTCTATGTCAAAATGTTAACTCAGAAAATTCTTTTATTTCTCCCTTTAAGTAGGAATAGTCTTATGCATATTAAGGTTTCCAATACCAGGTACAATTATATCAACATATTTTTATAGTAGGAAGACCGATATCAGGATATCATTAACGACCTTTCAGTCTTCTGAACTGGTTATATCATATGCAGCTTTTACAATGTTAGTTATTTTTACCACCTGCAGAAATACCTGAAATGCCTTCCTGTTTTAAATATGTTTATGCTTACAAAATTCAAACAGTAAGAAGAAAAAAAACAGGGTAATTATAAAGCCAGTGGAAGTAAGTGGCAAATCTCCAACATGCAACAGAAGAGGGTCTAAATTATTTCCTTGAGGTCATAAAATAGCTTGAAGCAAAGAGTTTAACAAAATATGTCAAAACACTAAATCACTGAACATCAAGCATCTATATACTTTTCCATTTCTGGCATTTTGCATATACTTTTTTAGAACACGGACAGTTCCAGTTGTTAGAAGCAATCTTGAGTAGTATCTTAAGAGAAACATACCTAGGAGTATACAACCTTGTAATTATTACTTATGAAAGTAAAGTTTTAATTTCAGATGCTAGTCTTCCACAGTACTTACCCGTGCAAAGTCAAACGCATATCTATAAATAAGTTTAAAATTGGTAGGCTCATTTAATAAAGATCTCAAGTAATCCAGAGAATTTCTCAATTTTTCTGTAGTATCACATCTACAAGAAAAGCACAAAGTGAATTTAGAATCTGCATTCTTATACAGATGTCTGATATTTTAGAAAAGAATGTCTAACGTATCCCCATCTCTCTGTTCAAAATACATCACTTTGTACAAAGGCACATTTATGAGTCTGTCTGCATAAAATGCCTTGATTAAACCCACAGTGTGAAACAGATTTAGATAAAATAGACAAATCTTACACTGCTACTCTGATAAAAATTTATTTGGCTTTGTAGAAAATGCACTCTCCAACAGATTCAACTAAGAGCTTGCCTACACATGGCAAACAACCAGCAAACCACAGCAGTGAAACAATACTTCTATAATTTTGCTGAAACTATACAACTTCCTACACTGTTTCAGTGATTCTGTTCTGGAAGATAAGTCAAAACACAGTTCTTTCTCCAACTCTCTCTGAGACGTGATTATTCAACTACATTTATGTTCACTACGCCATGAAGATAAGCTCTTAACTGGAGAAAGCAACTCTTAGAAAGAACATGACAATGTGGAGTCAGAGAAAGGGTTTGTATTATTTAGCATTTTAAACTACACATGCTCTAACAACATAACAATATCCAATAGATCGGTCCAATCCAGTGACAAAGACAGATATCCTTGGGGACAGAAACAATGTCAAACTTCATTACATTCCTGTTTTCTTGAGACTGAAGACATTTTAATCCAACCTTATTTAAACATGCAGCTATCAGGTTTCAAGTTGTCTCTAAGTGGCCATATCACCATAAACAGGACCAAAAATGTATGGCTTCTACTCCACAGTAGAGCCCTCTGCTTTACATGTTATGAATCAAAACATCAAAACATCATGGGTTTACTATAACAAGAGGTTTTTCAAAACACTTACTGGAGTGATGTCATTCCTTTTAACCATTCTTGTAATGTAAAGTAGCCCATGTTTTGTGCATCCAACTTCCACGCTAGGACAAGCATAACTACCTGTTTTAAAGAGAAAAAAAATTAAGACTGAAAAGAACTGAAGAAAAGTTCCACATTTTTTTCAAATAACTACTGTTTAGTAGGCTACATATGCTTTACTTATATAAATGGGATGTTCAGATCTTTGCTACGCTATTTTAAAAGTTATCAAACCTGAAAGTGACAAACCTGTACATAATCCAAACAAAGAGAAAATAACAGTGCAAAGATACAGAGTGAACATCCATCCAAGCTACCAGTAACCACCTTACTTCAAGGGAACATGCACAGTCATCTAGTACGCAGTGCAATGAAGAAGATGAGTTGCCACAAAACCTACAGAAAAAGTTTCCCAAAACAACTACCAAGTACCAATCTGACCACCAGTTACAATTGACATTTATTAAGCTCTCATCTAGATGAACATCAGTTGCAATCCATAAACTCTGTGAAATCAAATTATTCTAAAGCTAATAATGATCCCACCTGAATCCAGCTACCCCAGGGTACCGTCAGTCTACCTGATTTTGCAGGTCTGAACATGCAGTGTAATTGAAGTTGATGTTAAGTAAAGCTAGGTGAACATTAACATACATCAAAACAGAGGCTGATACGTAAATACTTCAGTTTTGCCCAAAAGGAAATAGAGTCCTTTTCAAATCTCACACAAAAGACTGACGCAATAAAGAATTCAGATAAAGTGATACCATAAGAGAACTATCTTATTCAGGAACTTAAGAAACCACTTCTGATGTATACATGGGAAAACTTGCAGGACAACTGACCTTTAGTAGTAAAGGCAAACAAAATAACCAAGTTATTTAAATTTGCAACTCAGCCATTAGCTAATGTTAGTGCAGCTCTGTATGGTTTTTAACGTTAAATCAGAATACGTACTTATATACCCAAATGTCTGCATCAATCTCAGTTGTTTATTATACCAAAAAACTCCAGAATTAGCAAATTACATCTTACATTTCTAAGTAAGCCTTTCAAAGCCACAATTCTCATTTTACCTAGAGATAATGCTTTGCAAATCCTGCAAAAGATGGGAGTTGCATATACATTTAAAGAGCAAAAATTAGGCACTAGGAAAAAGCCTGTGAAAGGCACAGCTATTTTTTTTTAATTTTATTTATTTCTATATATATGTATGAAATTGTTATGGTTTTGTGGGGAGGGTTTTGTCTGGTAGCAGGGAGGAGCC